ACAGCATTGGTTGACGAATGGTCCAAAATTACGCCACAAGTGACACAAAAGTTGGTCGAATCCATGCCAAAAAGGCTCAAAATGGTGGTTGATCAAAAGGGTGGTCACACCAAGTATTAAATTTAGTTAATTGATCAAAAACGTAGTTGTAATAATGTAATACATTAAGTGGTTGAAATAAGCTGTGGCATTATTTTTCGTTGAATTTTCAGTTTTTAATTATTATAAAATGTTAGAAAAATACTTAAAAAATATATGAAGTTAAATTTTGTAAGTTAAGTCATCAGACTAACTAATTGCGATTAAATTATTTTGATATCCCTTTTAGTTAAGATTTTACAGAGGCTACAATTTTTTTAAGGGTGCTGGTTGAAATAAGCTGTGAGCCACTGTATGTGCCAGATAGGGAGATCAAGAGAGGCGGGCTGTCAGCCAACTTGGCAAACGGGTCGGTTTCAGATTATTGCGCAAGCTAAGGCTTAAGCCTCAACATTGACATTACTCATTAGCAGTTAGCATCAGACGAGCGATAAGCGAAATTTTGAGGCAGGGCAGTCCCGACAATTGACGTCAAGCACAAAGAACACACAAGTATGGTAAAAACAAATTATATCGGTACATCATGAATGTAATTCAAATTTCACTCGAATTCTTTCCCTGGGAATTTCGTGTCATGCTATGTGTTTTAATGAAATAATGAAATATACAAATTTAAATAACACTTGAAGAATATAGTAGTTAGCTGACCCAGCATGAGATCAGTGAATGCCAAATGTCAAAATAGAGAGACATAATACTGTCATACAACTATTAATAATCCCGAGTTTTCTTGGGCAAACAAATTAAAATAAATCACGCAATTAATACTTACTGTTTTATACCCACTTTTTTTAAACCAATTATTATAATAGTTACATAGTTACTATATCTTATATTTTGTACACACACTTAAGTCTGCATTTTGTCATTAATTTATTGTTACATAAATAGCTCTAGGGCCCAGCTTTTCCTTAAGAACTTTGTAAGAGCATATAATAAATAAATAAATACTGATAAACTATAATACTATTTTATAATATTATACTTGCATATATGAATGGATTATTTTGTTCATATTAATTTATTCGTTTGTTATTTTTAAATATCCTCTTCTTTTGTTGAGGCAGGAAATCTTTTAAATTAATTTAAAATTATTATTTGCCTTACAATTAAATTGCTAAAAATGTATGGATTCCTCTAATTTGTTGTTTAACCTTAGTTTACTGCTTAATTTAAATACATTTATTCAATTAATGTTCCTTCGTTAACATTAAAAAAGAGATTTAATTATTTGATGGTCTTATTTCCACAATTGTTTAATGTAGAAAAATTAAAGTTAAAAGAACAAATTTTTTTGTAGGTTATTTTGTAGGTTATCAAAATTATAGCTAACTTATACTTGAACCATGCTTATATGTATCCTCAATAAGTTTATTTGATATTAAAAATATTTCATATTAATATTGAACCAAAAGAATATGGTTTACACAATTGACTCATAATCAAAATACCATCTGGTTTTGGACATATAACTAATTTTTCTGGCCATAATCTCTTTACCTTAGTTCTCGCGCATTATATGTAAAGTTAATGGTTAGTTAGTTAGTCTAACGATATCAGAAGTGTGCCGAAAAAAGCTTGTTATTAGTATTTAAGGTACTTTTATTGACATTCAATTTGAAAGAAATAAGTACGATCGAAATGTATTTCATCGCAGGATGAATATTCTTCGACATGGGAAAGATATATTTCAATTTAAATTGATCGCAAACATGAGAAGACGACGTAGGAACGAGCTTACGAATCAATTGATTGACACACATCGACACAACACGTGTCGAAGTTGATTTCCAGATCGCGGTTGCTCCAGATACGAGTATGTGGGTCATTTAATATGCAGATGAAAAACTCAATTAAAAGCTAATTTGACAAGCTCGCACAACCAAAAATTAACCTCGATTCTGATTCTGATTCCGATTCTGTGTGACAGTTAAATGCAATCTAAATATAAATTTAAAAATCAAATACAAAGTGCATTTACATGCAATTAGTTATGCAAATTGATATCGCAGCAACAATGTGGGCAAGGGTGATTGAATGTTGTGGTTCTTGTTGCTATTGCAATGAAACGATTGTATCCATCCCTGGCACATTTAAATTTGAAAAGTGTTGACACACGTCATTTGAACAATTTAAATAAAAATTGCAATAATTACCCGCATTGTTGGCTCGAACGAATCCTTTAAGAAACATTTCAGATGCTTATCAGGGCTGTCTTGCTGTTGCAGAAGCAGAAGCAGAAACAGAAACATTTTTCGATTCATTGGACATCAAGTGATGTAGAGAGATCGTCATTTCGATGAACTGCCTTCATTAATACACAATCATTAGCCGACGGCAGACCAATTGGGCCATCTTGCCACTTCATCGTGCAGCCCATGTTGCTACTCAAAACGAGAAGCTCCACCCTGAACATAATGTTGATGATTCATGCACGGAGCTTCAACAGCCACAGAGCCATTGCCAAAAGGTAGCCCACAAAAAGGTTCGGAACAGCATAGCTCCGCCCCATAACAACAAATACGAAAATTGAGTCAAAAAAAAAAAAAAAAGAAAACAGAAAATAAGCTAACGACTTCAACGTTGCCGTCACTTGGTCGTTGGGTCGTTTGGACGTCGATTCACGGAGTGCCGTGAGCCAAAACGAAAGAGAAAATGTGGTGCGGCTTTTGTCTACACATAATCTGTTGTTGCCGGCGTTAGGAAACAGGCCACGCCTTTTCGGATTTATGTTGACGACGCGACCCGGAAAACGAGACAAGGAAGGAAAAACTATGCAGCAACAAATGGCTGTGCGAATGGGAGAGAAAAAGAGAAGGCGGACAGGGGACAAGGAGCAGACAGGCAGACAGCGAGTAGTTCTTGTAACAATAGACCTAGACATAGACGCTGCCAGCAACCCTTAAGTGCAAGTTGCCTTGGCATTGGAGCTACCAACAGCTACTTGAGACGCAGAATGCTGAAGGCCCTAAAAAAGTCGATGTGTGTGTCTGTTTATGGAAACTACATGCCTCTACTACATACTTCATATATGTATGTGTGTGGCTTAGACGCAACTGTGGGTGGAGCTACAGGCCAGTGATTTAGATATTTACATATAAGATCTTTAAAAAATTCCACTGATAAGATATTGAAATTAATAATTGGAAATATGTGTGCGGTTCCATACTTTATTGCCATAAATAGCGTTTTGTTAAGCAAGTACGTTTTTCGTTGATAAATGTGATTAGATAAAAATTATTTTATTCTGAGTGAATGAATGGGTCGAAACCGCATTTCGTAATTAAAATGATTTAATGTTTCCTTATATGGTTTTAATGTAAATGACGCACACCCCAATATATTCAACAAATTTTCGTGTGACTATTGAATGAATGACTCAAGTTCACTTTTTATGTGATCCGTTATTTTACCTGTAGTTCTGTCTAGATATATAATATTGGTTTCATAACTGAACTTTTAAATTAAAATATACCAAGTATGTCTATTTCTGATCACTTTTCTTTTCTATTTATCTAGGGTGACATAATTACATACATAAATGTATAACAATTGGTATGAGACGACTGTCAATACCATTAGATTGTAAAATATGGTCCTATCCATAAATTTACATCAACTTCTCTTTGCAATTTTTTCCAATTTAAATCAACAAATTACTAATTTCTTTATTTTCATAGGAGTGAGAACGATTTGTTTAGCCAATAAATTATATTATACTATTATTCTCTTTGCAATTTTTTCCAATTTAAATCAACAAAATACTAATTTCTTTATTTTCATAGGAGTAAAAACCATTTGTTTAGTCAATAAATTATATTATACTATTCATACTGCTCTTTTCAATATTTCATATCTGAGAAAGCGGAAATTCACAAGATTATCGGAAGCACTCATAAGTCGAAATACGTAATCCCAAAGCAGTTGCCAAAAATTATGTGTGTACCAATATTGTATGCATATAGGTATAGGCCCCTTGCTTTCAAATACATATGTGCAATCTCTATGTACAACGAATAGAGCGTACTTATCGCACATGGGAGGCTCGTCACAATGAGCCTTGTACTATACTTGTACTTTTTTCATGTTTTGCCCACTTTCCCATATTTTAGCTGCCAGGCTGGGACATCGATAATGACATCGTCGTACAAGTTGCGCTGAAAACGTTTGTCATGCGATGACGATTTAATACAATTAATATGATAACTGTACCTCGCGCAACACACAGATACAGATACAAACACAACAAAGGCGACACAACTTGACAACACTTGGCAACAAGGCCCGCAAGACGCGCAAGGTGGCAGCGCCCGAAGTAGCTGTACCCGCCCACGCCGCTGCCGCAAACTCTGCCGCTGCTGCAGAGAGCGAGCGTCGACAAAAGCATGGCAACAGCAGGTAATTTTTGGCGCTACGCGGCCAGAAAAAATACGAATGAGGCGATGTCAACAAAAATACCAAAACAAAAAATCGAGCCAGTCAGCCTGCCAGCCAGCCAGCCAGCGAGCCCAGGGAGAGAGCGAGAACGAGCGGCCGCAGCAACAACAAAGCGGCCAAGAAAAGGTGTTCAAGCCAAAATGAGAGCAATGCAACAATTGTCTGACTGTGCGAGCGTCAGAATCAGAATCAGCAACCACCCGCAGACACAGCAGCAGCAGCGACGTCGGCAGCGGCAGCGGCAGCGAGAGAGCGAGAGATGCGTTCGTATAAAAGCACGGCCGCTGCGCTTACGCCAGCAGTTTGAAGCGAACAAGCGAAGCGTGCGGTTGATAGAGACCTTTAAATAAATTTAAATAAGAATTCAAGAGCCAGAAGAAGTGACGTGTGTTCATGAACTTGTATTTAACAACAAATTCGGAGGTGTGCGTTAAAAAACAATAACAAAGCATTTGATATTCATTGTGCGTAACGCGACGAATCTTTGGCGACGGCAGACAGAAAAAACCCGAAAAAGAGAAAGTTTTCTTGAATCATCAACAAGAAACTACCGTTACGATTACGAGCAATTGTGCAATTTGAAAAGAGGAACAGTTTAAAGTACAACAACAACAATTCGTCAACGAAATGGCTGTGGCTTTCTACATTCCCGACCAGGAGATGCTGCTGCGCAAGGCTCAGCAGCAGGAGCAGCAACTGCTGCGACAACGCGAGTCCCAATGGCGTCTGCTGGCCACCATTGTGCTGGAGACACTGCGTCAATTCATGGACTCGGTGCAGGTGGCACCAACGAATGCCAGAGCGCGCAAGTGCGGCAAGTGGCGCAAACCATCGCAGTAGAGCGGTTTTGTTTGAGTAAACATCAGCAACCATAGTAACTACAACTAGGACAACAGCAACAATAACAACAACAACAGCAGCAGCAGCAACAACTACAGTCGACGCAAGTCAGTGAAAAGTACAAAGGAAAATCCAACGACCAACGGGTGACTCAGCCGACGGCACTACAACTACAGCAATAGCAACAACAACATCAACACCTACAACAACAACACTTTCATTCGACACTTTATTTAAGTCAACTCAGAAAATACTTGCATATATTTTCCAAAATTCCTACTTTAGTTTACTCATCAAGGCGATTGTGATAATAGTTTTGTTTCTACATACTTATAAAAAATAAAATAAAAACAATTTTAAAAAAAAATACAATTAAACTAATGCATAAATAATTTTGTAAGGCAAATTTTTGTATGTAATTTTAAATTTAACAAAACAAAAACTTTGATCTAGCAATTTTATTTGTAATCATTATTTAATTTAAATATATATCTCAATAGTTTGTAAGCCAAACATTTTTTCTTAGTTTTTAAGCGCAATACTTTTTTATAAAAGCTAATGAAGAAATGAGAGGCGAGATGAGAATTTACAACAGGTTTGCTAAAATTGCATCAATTTTTTGTCAAACAAGAGTCAATAAAAAATGAACAAAGAAAACACGTAAATTATGACAAAGGCGTTCATTTTATTATTCAAAGATCATTTTCAGCACAATGTTCACAAAGCGTGGAAGAAATTGTTTATGACAACGCTACGACGGCAATGACGAGAGATCTGGCCGACGGCCTCTTATATATGTATCCATATCCATGCGTCCCGATTAGACAGCTGCTAAGCACACAGGGTCTGAGCCCTAACTTCCACTAATACGCTACGGTACGGTACTGTTGTAAAAAATTTCGAGCTTCTTATCTGTATATCAGGCAGTATAACATAGCTCCATGACTTCAAATAATCGGTCAAGGCAGTATTGGCATAATAGAGCAGCCAGCGATAATTGAGTGTTGAGGTAGGCCTTTCAGAATACCATAATATTGGATCGTTGTTTAGTGAATGAAAGGCTGATCGTAATGAAGCTTGATACTGGCAATGAACTGTATTTTATACAAGAAGTAACCATTAACAATTGAGGAAGTGATCGAATAAATACACAGAAAGAAATATGGGAAATGTGTGCGCGATCCATCATTATATAAATTATTACTCCCATAGAAAAAATTCAGAATTTGCGAAATATCGAAATCAAAGAGGCAGGTACGGTTCTATTTCTCGTAAATTCAATTCAATTGTCCATAATTTCAGCACTACATTTTATTTATACACATTTTAGTTCTATAATTTTATATAGTTTTTCAGTAATGAAACCCAAATACTTATAATGCATATTAAAGATCTGGTATAGTCCAGAACAAGCTACGATACTCACAATCAATCAAAGGCCCACAAATTCTATTTATAACAACATTCCGCAGAAACCCCCATTAAAAATAATCGAATTGGGGACACCAAATGAGCAAAGTTTGCGAAAAGTTTTGAAATATATTCCAATTTTTGTATTTCCCATAGTTCATATTATTTCGAAATGTAACATTAAATTTAATCATTTTCGCTTGATTAAAGTACGTTGTCATCTTGAAATGAGTTTGGTACTGTGTTCAGATTTTGAGCCTAATTAGTCACATATACTTTATATAACTTTCATATTTTAATTTAAACGTATGAGTCAAGATGAAATAAAGCGGTTGAGTTTCAAAGCTTGGTTTTCCAACTGATTATTTTGTGAATAAAGTTCTATTTATACATATCCTAGGGAGCACCATCTTAACTATTTTTTAATGAATAATATTAATCGAACCTCGCGTTGTTTTGTAGCTTACGAAGTTTGGGTCGCAACCCAAGAACAAATGAACAAATCTGCTATATTTTTAAATCTCCGTCAATTACTCAATTAAAGTAAAGGTTCTAGGATTTTTTTATAGGGTCTCGTAATTTTGATCATAGTTGAAAACTATAAGTTTAATATGGCTAATGATATTTTGATATTTATCAATTCAATTCTGTAAGACTTAGATTAAAAGTGGCTAGAAATTTTTTATAAATATTAAGCACAATTTTGTAGCCTTTTTACTGATATCCGCAATCCTTATTTGCTAGGGTAATTGAAGAAACAGTACGATTATTACTTTTAATATTTTGAAGCGCAAGTCTAAGCTCAAATAGCAACAATTATTATAGCTCTCACCGGCTCTGCTGCGTGCAACATTTATACGAAGAGGTTCAGATGCATACTACAAGTATATACTATATAGTTTGAATTATCGTATAGTTTGGCAGCTTAAAAAAAAACATAGCTAACTGCCATTGTGCAACAGGAAAAAGCTCCCTGAACGCAGTTCGAAACAAACTTAACATACAAATTCAATTATGCAAAAATTCGAAACATTTGACGCAGAAAACTTTAGCGATGTTTTCCTTTCCACTTGGCAATGCCAAAAAATTAGGTGCAAACAAAACAATTTGCATTTTTAAGTTAATTTTGGTAAAGTGCAGCAGCAATGGAAAAACTTATGGAAAATCCGCGTGAAAATCGTGCTCGACGGCAATCAGCTTCGTCTAAAGGGGCTCATCATAAGCGCTATTGACTTGGCTGACAGCCTGACGCCGTTTAATTAAACTTTTGCACTTATGTAGCTGCAACGCAGACGCATTGCAACAACTGCCTTGCCCTCGACCCCGCCATCCTCCTACCATCCCATATGAAGTTCAATTCACTTTGATTGCGAAAATTTGGCGTAGAAGTTTCGCATCAACAACTTTTTGACGTCGGTGGAAAAATCAAAAAAATTCATTTGGCAAACAAAACTAATTAACGTTAAACAGATAAAAGTTTGCTTAAATGCTCGACGGGATCGGACTATAGAGTACACACATATAGTATGTATATTGGGATGGTAGGATGGTATGTGAAAAATAATTAACCCGAGTTTATGATTATGTTTTCTCGTCGACAACTTGTTGGTCATGCAATAAAAAGTGGCGAAAAGTTCTGCGCAAAGCGATTTTTAGCTAAAGCTGTAAAAATCACAGACAGAAAACAGTTAACAAGTGGAGCAGAGAAGATTTGCAAAGTTTTTAGCTGTTAATTAGTTGGCAAAGTGTTTCTAATGTGACTACAGCGAGAAGTTACTGAACTCGAATCAAAACAAAGTACCCAGCGATTATTGAAATACATTCAAGCCAACAACAAGAACAAAAACAAAAACAAAAAAAAGAACAAAGTTAGCTCGACAATAAAATGCTGAAAAAACGGCACAGAACCCAAGATTCCACAGAACCAGGAATCCAAGGCCAAACAAACCCTTGGAGATTTCGATCTTCGGGTCTACACATAATTGTCTAACATTTTGTTGGCATTTTTTTCCTACACCGCATCGCTCTAAACTAATTATTTGATTAGCCCGGCCCAGGCCAGCAGGCAGGCGGGAATATGGCGAAGAACCCTGCCCGGTCGTGCACAATGAAGCAAGAAATTGGCAGCAGACCGAAAAAAAAACCCTAAAGAACCGCAGCCGAATAAGAAGGAAAAAATTGCTTTTGGCATCCTCATTTTATGGTCTTCTTCGCTTCCCTTTTTCGGCCAAAAATTAAATCAAATCAAAATCAGTCAACAACTAATGGCTGCTTAATAACATTAGCCGCACTCTGTGCATTGGTATTGAAATGTTTTTACACGATTTATGAGTGGAGGCTTAGAGGCGGGCCCGACTCGAGGATTAGTCGGGCAGTCAATCGGAAAAAGGCGCTCTCTATGTTATGTTTTCGGTATTATGACAGTTGTGTAATTTGGTTTGCACTGACGCGTGCAGAACTAAGAGAATTTCAGGGCAAATGTGATTAAGATTACTGGATAAGCAAAGAGCAGGCAGAAGAAAAATGAAAGGGCCATGCGTAATAGAATAAAGTTACAGAGTATCGTCATGGCTTAATATCAATTGTGAATCGTATATTTATTTTTGAGATGGATATTTCAAGTTTCTGGTTAAATTAAAAACTAGCATTATAGTATCTAGCTATATAGAAATACATTAAAAATATATTACCAGCAGATTCATTTACTTCCCCATTATATGCACAATTACATTATGTTTAGAAGACAAGCATGATTGAACAAATTTCAAAGTTTTCAAACAATTTAATAACGGTCCTATCTAGGACAGTCCTTAAATAAAGATTAAAAAGAAAAAACTTAACTTGTAAGCTAAATATTATGTTTAGAAACAATTCGTCAGTAAACATTAAATTTTTTTCAAATTGAATATAACTTATTTCCTTAAAACTCCCAACATTATTATTTATGTTCAAATATATTTTCATCGCCAGTTTGTGCGATTTATGTCTGTATAGCTTTAGGATAACCATCGCATATATAAATACATATTAATGCACTTTAACAATTAAGCTTAAAGTACATAATTTATAAAGCAATCACACTTATATATACTTTACATCGGATATACTATATACAGCCCAATTGGAAGAAAATGTTTTCTGTATTCAATAGTTTTTCAGGTTTTTAACGGTTTGATTTGCGATTCTCTGATTCATTTTAATTGCTGTTCTCGGTTTATCCTGCATTGCTTCGATAAGGCCAAGTCAAGTCGGTACAAAAAATTAAATTATAACATATCGATATTTTCGGGATTTAGTTTCTTTTGGCAGCTATATCAACACATTTTAACAGATATTTATGAACATTTTACGAATAATAAGAACCACTTATTTGCCGGAAGCTGTATTTGAACGATCTCTGATAAAGGTAAAATATAATTCCCTATACAGATTTCATGCAGTAAAAATATTGCCACTCCAACTTATTAAAATTGATGAATATTTTTACCACAGGAAAGCAGAAAAAAGTGTAAACTTCACATAAAACGCCCAAAAAGAATCGAAAAAAGCCCTTAAAAAAATATAAAACAAGCATCATTTATAAGCCGCGA